AGTAATTTATATAGATATATTATTTATGATTTATACGATTATTTTATTTTATATATATATATATATATATATATATTTTTTTTTTTTTTTACTAAAATAAATCAAATGGTTGTTTTTGTTAATAGAGAAAAAAGAGAGAACAATTTTGTATTCATTGATATTTCAAGTTTATCTGTGTAATTAAATTAATTTTTAGATAAATATAAGATTTATTACAAATTGTTGCATTATAATAATATAATTAAAATTCCACTTATTAATATTATTATTAAATATTATTATTTATCGAAGGTGGGAGTAATAAAAAGAATAATATTTATACTAGTAATATTTGTCGTTTTTTATTTTTTTTTATTTATTTTTTTTTTTTTTTCTTACAACGTGGAAACGAGTAAGAATTTTTCTTAGCACGCGCGTCCTGAAATTCACGCATCTATGCACGCGCGGTCAACAACAACAACAACAACAACAACACAAGAACGAACGGTGCAGTGCATTATCATTTTATAATGACGTGCGAAACGCACACGCTTTCCTTGTATGCAACTTGTATGCACACTTACCATACATCTTTGTATTGCCTTGTGTTAGATGTAAGAACAATGAGAGATTATAACGTGCGTGAGTGTAATAAGTTGCGTGTAATTAACGGGGGGAGGAACCATGCTACCGATCGACGAGATGCAAAAAGACAGAAAAGAAAAGAAAAGAAAAAAAAAAGGCCATTTTATAATTCCAACATTAATTATTTCGTAATAATCACGCGCAGGAGGATTCTTTTTAAGAGTTATGGTTTTTCCTACGAATACAATGAAACCGTTATAATCTTCGTCTTTATCTATTGTTTTTTTTTTCTTTTTTTTTTTTTTAATAAATATTATATAACAAGTAGAAGGATAAAATTAAATTCGATTGAATAATTAAATTTTTATTTAATTTTTAATTTAATTATAATTATATTATAATTAATATTAAATATTATATTATTATATTTAATTAATTATATTATTTTTAATTATATATTATTTAATTATTTATAGTATTTAATTTTATTTTATTTCATTATATTATAATTAATACATTAAATATTATATTATAATATTGAATTAATTAAATATTATAATATAATATTTAATAATTATTATATTATAATTATTTTGTATTTAATGTATTAATTTAATTATAATTATATTATAATAATTATTAAATATTATATTATAATATTTAATTTTTATATATATATATTTTTTTTAATATTTAAAAAATAATTAAACTAAAATCGTGAAAGTATTGCTTATCTATGTATATATATATATATTTATGGGAGTTTAAAAATCGGTGTTAATCGTTTTCAGTTTAAACGTAGTACCAAGGGATTTAAAAAGTTTCAACATTAGGTAGAATCTGTTTTTCCCTGCTAAATGTTTGTGCTATAAAGTTCGCCAAATGTAAAAAGTTTTGTATCGTTGAGTTAGAGAGACCAGCACGATTCGTTTTTTCCCTTTCCTTTCGTAAACTATGTGGCACAAAAAAAAAAAGAAGAAAAAAACCAGAAAGCTCGATGGTACACAACCCACTTAACAAGGACTCTCTTTAGTAAGCCCTGATATTAAATAGAATTAGATCGATACGAGCGTACTTATGATGATGGAGGGTTACTCAGAACAGTTTCGCAACGTTGATGGTGTGACAGGGGAATGTCATGAAAAGGGGTGCATAATGTGGGACGAATATATCCGATGCACCTTACTGGAATTTAACCTGTTACCGTACTTAAATCAAAGGGTTCCAAAATATCGTGACATAAGGGTTGAATAGAATGGTTCAAAAAATTCCTATTAATTTTATGATGTCTCACATGCAATTTTTAGAAATATTTACAAAAGAAAAGAGATTATGATGATTTAATAATTATTATTCGTGATATATCTAAATTTATATATTTAATAGCAGTAATTATATTTAAATAAATAATAATAATTAAGAATATTATATTAATTTCAAATAATTTAAATTTATATTAATTTATTTTATTAAACAAATTTTAATATAAATTAGAATATTAAATTTATATATAAATATAATATTGGTTTATATATTAATTATATTAATTTTATTAATTAAACCTATAATATATTTAAATAAATTTAAATTAATATAAACCTATATTATGTTTATATAAGTATAATATAGGTATATTATTTATAATAGGTATATTAATTATATTAATTATATTAATTATAATAATTAAACCTATATTATATTAAAATAAATTTAAATTAATATAAACCCTTGAAATGAAACCTTTCTTGTGTATATATTTATACATAAAAATTTTTTTTATATATACACACGAGAGAAAGTGAGAAGATTGTAAATGGCATCAAATAATGAGATACCTATATCCTTTCGATGAATCGATCATGGCAACCGAGACTTAGGTTTCAATGTTTTTATTCGATATAGAACCAATCTCTGAATCTAATATCATTCCTTTTTGTATGAGAGATAGATGTACGTACGTCTGTTATCATTGTGTCTTCTCCTTCAGGGTATAGACTCTGACCTCGTAAATTGAGTTTCATCTTGAAAAGTAGAAAAATCGAGAGACGGACCGATATAAAGATAAACATCGATAGAATAGATAGACGATGTAGAATTGTATTTGTTCCGAATACGTCCATTCTCGTTACTACATCTTCTTCTTCTTCTTCTTCTTTTCGTTATTTTTACAGATACCTTTTTTATTAATATATTATTCAGTAGTGTACGTTAGTACGATGTAAAAAGGATTCCATTTCAATTCGATTTATCTTAATAAACTATCAATGTCAAGAAATATATATAGGTATATAACTTTTACTTAGGGTTTTTTTTAATTAATTTATTATTTTTGAATACGCCCGTATCCCCAAGTCTAATCATTTATTTGAGAATAAAATAAGAATGATTCATCTCTCAGCTGTATTTACCTGGTCTTTATTGTTAAAGATTCTTAATTATGCTAATATATGGGTACCTGTATATATATATATATATATATATATATTAAAAAAAAACGTCCTTTCATATAGCATCGTAATTACATCACACCTGTTTATATAATTAAATCATCATTATAGAAAAAAAAAATCTGCAAAATCACAAAATGACATTTATTCTTTTTCTTGTATTCGTTTTGTGACGTGTCATTCGGTTCTCTGTTGGTCTCTCATGGGATGAGAAATATATCTCGAGTCCCATGGAAACACGATCTTGTAGTGTCTCTCGATATGCTTCAGGACTTTGTAGTTTCATGTGGAAAACCAAAAGGAAGATACCCACACTGACACACTTGGTCTCGGTCAGTGATGAAAACCTTCTCGTCGTGAGTTCTGCGTATCTTCGAGATACTCCCATTCAATTTCAGAAACTGCAAAGAGGTACATTTCTATGATTATATCGTAAAAATATTGACTCGCCCGTTATATTTTCATCGTGAGAAAGAGAAAAAGCGTTGAAATCTCAGCGAACATTTTGGACGTACTTTAAAAAAAAAAAAAAAAAAAAAAACACGGAAGGGGTGATTTTCCTGAACTCTTTTTCTTCGCCACCGACGTAGTAGATATGAGAAAGAACGAAAGATAAAAAAAAAAAAAAGGAAAAACTTATCTCGTCCGTACTTTTCATACCGCAAAGTGCGAGACTGCATTATTCATGAAGCGTGGAGTAAGAAAGAAGAAAGAGAGGGGTGCCCTGGCATTTGGACCATTTTCAACGGCAAATCCACGGTGTAGTTCGTCCGGGATATTTTCTACGGCTCTATTTACATACATCTCTTGCCACTGAATCACACGGTGTTTCTCTTCTCTTGCAGTTGCCCTTTCAGTAACGCTACTACATCTCTCACGAAGTACACTGAAGAAGAAGAACGTTTACCGAGAAACGTTTTTATCTTACGGAACGGAGAACAATAACCTCATAGAAAATCGTTTTCTCATTCTTCAACAGATCTTGATCGATGAATTATTACTTTTCCTTTATACCACATATATACATATATGTGCCCATAATTATGAAAATGGTCTAAGACAAAATTAAAAGAAAAAAAATGAATTTATCAGTTATTACGCACCACATTATTTTAAACTAAATAAATTCAATGTAATTTTCACGATATTATCAAAAATAAATCGTTAGATAATATTTGTTATTTCAATATTTTATAGAATTTGTATAAAGTGTTCAAATATATATTTTTAAATATCTCGAAAACAAGAGATATATGACTTAGATCACCTTCATAATTATGGGCCCATATATATCGTATCATTTTATTATTTTTGACGATACGAGTGGGGTGTGTGTCTATTCGAAAGAAGGAAAGAATTACATTTTGTTTGTTTTTTTTCTTAAGGGATGACAGTAGGTACGCGAGAAACACACAGCCCCATGGTAACAAGCCTAGTATTCCAGAGAGGAAAAAAAAAAGATAAGTAAAAAGAAGTAGAGAGAGTAGTAGTAGAAGTAAAAGATAAAAAGAATGAAAAATAAAACGAAATAATACTCGCGGAGGAGAGGGCTCGTCCGACAGATCGATGCACGGGCCGTCCAGTCGGCGGGTAGTTTGAATTTCCAACTCTTGAGAGATGGAACCAATGGGCAACACACATGTACATACACACACATATAAATATATACGTTTATATATACACGTGGACGTGACACGTACGTCGCGTAACACACGTAGGTATTTAGAATGGATAAAGACAGATATACAGGGAAAACAAGAGAGTGAGAGAGTGAGAGTGAGAGAAACAGCAAAGCACATGAGGGGTGGCCCGGTGCGTCGTCCCAGGTAAGGGGCAGCTGTCCACCAGGTGCCACTCGCCCCACTGCGCGCGCCCAATCTATCGGGCCCTTGTAGTGGGGGACGCGACGATCCTATTGGTTGATGGCTCGCGCGCGGATCGGAGATACTCCGGCGCGCCGTGCTCGAGCAGTCAGTCGTCCCTGGGCGCTCGAGGGACCCGCAGTCGTTCGGTAGATTCGCTTTACGGCGCATCGTTCGCCGCGGCTAGTGTGACACGCGGTTGATTTTTCTCTCCCCCTTTCTTTTTTTCTTCATTATCATACTCTTATTCTTATTCTAATATATAATTTTTTTTTTTTTATTATACATATATATTAATTCTTTAATATATATATGTATATGTAATACAAAACAACGAAATCACATTTCGAGTTACGTCAACTTGAAGAAAGGAGATCCGTGGCTGTGAGTGCAAGAGAGAAAGATCTAAATAAGAAGAAGAATTTCTAGTCATTGTTTCGCTACTCGTGATTTATTATTATTATTTTTATTATTATTGTAATATATATATTTATATAAAAATATATATTATTATTATTATTATTAATTATATATATTTTTTTTCTTTGGCGAAACAATTCCGTTTTACGGGAAACATTTCTATCGGTGGATTCTTTATTTCATCGTCATCGATATTGTGCTTCGAGTGACGGACAAAACTGTGTTATTTTGCGTATTTTGATTTTGATACGTTTCGATCGTTCGTTTCTTTTTTTTTTGTTTTCTTTTTCCCTCACCGCCAAGAAAACGGATAAAAATACAACATAATCATCGTCATTAGAAGTTGGATTCTATCATCGTGATATTTGGTCTTCGCACGTATTAATTATTTCAAGATTTTCGCACGCTCTCGACTCTCGAGAGCAGTACGGCCAGATTTATGGGGGTGTCCGGAGAGTGCGCGGTCAAGGGCAGCAAGAGCCAACCCTGTCACTGCTGCGCGAGTCACGTCGTTGCTAGTCCAAGCGCAAGCGTGCACCAGCAACAACTTCAACAACATCACCATCATCATCATCATCAATTGCAACAGCAACAACATCAACGGCATAATAATAATCATCATCATCATCACCATCATCATCACGAGATACATCATACCATTAATCCGAATTATAACAATCACAATCATCGTCATCAAGATAAAAATAACGCGCCGGTTGAGGTACAAAACAACGGTGACAACAGCAACATACTCGGACCGCTTCGCAGCAAAATGAAAGTATTGAAGAAGCTTAAACGCAAGATGGGATTAGGTGAGCTCAGGCCACGCCTACGAATTTTTTCCCATTTTTTTTGAATCTATATATATATATATATCTTTTTATTTTGTTTTTATCTAAATTTCCACCCCACCCCACCCCCCGAAGTTTAACGAAATTTTCCTTAAGTCTTTCGAAATTTAATTTTGACATTTCGTATTGTATCAGGAACAATACAAATGGAATCGTGTATATATGTGTGTGTGTGTCTCTGTGTGTGTGTTTACCTAAAGTAAATATCATATTTATAAACAAACAGAGAGGTTAATGACCTATTTGTATACATCGAAAATCTGTCGTGAAAGTTTCGTCTGTTTATAAGTCAGGTATTTCGAAATATCATCTGTATGGAGAGGGTTAACATAAATACATATATATATTTATGCATTTACTACAATACGTGGGTAAATATCATTCAGTAAATGACTAGAGAGAGAGCGTTATATTTCCGAGGTTAACGTGTCGTCTATCCGGGCAACGATCTTCTTGTCGTTTGCTTCGTACTCTTCCGTATATTGTCGTTGGGAGGTATCAAAGGGCGAGGCATAAGCAAAAAGGGTACCGGCACCGAGTAACGTGTACTTCTTGTAGTAACACTCCTTCACCGTTGTATTATTTTGATCTCACGCGTCTAACGTTACCACCCTCTATATATAAATGGTTTATAACATTCTATGGGATATTATAAATCATGTTTCATTTTATTTATGGTAAATAAATATGAGAGAGATAGAAACAAACCAACAAATAAAAAATTAATCACATTTTCTTTTCTTTTAAATGATAAAACGTACCGAATATGAAATTACGGGTATAGGAGACAAAACATTGGTTTAGAAATAATTTATAAAAATGGTTAGAAAATAAAAAAAAAAAATAGGAATATTTGTTTAACTCACCGAACGAGAACGAACGACGGTAGACGAAATATAACGATTCAAAGTACGCAATTTTGGAACATTACTTTTTGCGGTTCGGTCAGCGGTTATCTACCATTCTAGTCTCCGATAATTATCGGCGATGTTCCGTGACCCGAGTTTTCCGATATATCCCACCACCAAAAAGCATGTGAGAGCTATCGGTCTTCGATGGTACGACGAATCCTATCCCTATCCCTTTCCTTCTCCCTTCACCTCCCTCTTGTCCACTTTTCTTTAAATGTTCGATCGAAATCTCTCGTTAATAGTTGACGTCCTTGTCGCAAAACTACTACCAATCGTGCTTCATTTAATTCTCCTTATTCGATCCTATCGTTTACGATGATCGTTTGCTTTCAAAATAAAAAAAAAATAAAAAATAAAATAAAATAGAATGCACCAGTTTTTATTGCAAGCTTTTTTTTATCTCGAAGAAAATAGTAAAATTTATGTGTGTCGATATATATATGTGTTTACAATTATGGAAGTGGATTGTAATTGTAAGTTTATTAGTTATTTTACACTCTATTATTTTAAATTAAATAAATTTAATATAATTTTCACGATATTGTTAAGAATAAATATATAGGGTAATGTTTGTTATTTATATATATGTATAATATTATAAATATTTCATTTATTTATTATTATATATAATATTATTTTTATCAATTTATAATATATAATGTTATATTATAAATTTATTATTCATATATAATATTATTAGTGTTTCATATATATATATATATAATATTAATATAGAATGTTTTAATGTTCAAATATAATTTTTTAAATATCTCAAAACAATAAAAATATGACTTACAATTAGACCACTTTCATAATTATGGGCACATAATATATTTACTTTTGTTTGTAATATATATTCTAATTTTAATTGAACATAGTAATATTCAACCATCTTTCTTTATAATCATCGTCCTAATCTGTCTTTCTCTCAAACCTTCCTTTACATCCCTTTTTCGTATTCATCGTTTCATCCTTCGCATCACCAAAAAAAGTCTCTACCACAATCCACTCCTCACCCCTGCCTATCAAGTCTGCCAGGTAGATTGTACTTATCTGCTGCAAAGTCTTTCGTACAGCTCGATTTTTTACTTTCCTCTTTTCCCTCTCCCCTCATCATCCTAACTGCAGCATCGTTTATCAGTACATACACATATACATACATACATATCTATCTTTACCCCTCGTCCTTCGCAACATAGACGCGTGTTTCAGTGTATGCGTTCGCATCGTTGACCGACTTTTCCTTCAATGGATGATTTAGCAGTAACCACGTGAGTCTCTTGCTCTTGTCTTCTTTTTTTCTTTTTCCTTTGTCTCTCTCTCTCTCTCTCTTTTCCTCTCTTTTCCTCTCTTTTCCTCTCTTTTCCTCTCTTTTCGTTTTCTCCTTCATGTTTCTTCTCTCCACCCTATTCCGCACATACCGTTCTCATCAGATATTCGCTGTTCCCAACCAGTCACGACCCTTTTTTCCACGAGCAGCGTCCATTGTCAGCGACAGCTTTTGCGAAGTGGAAACCTTCTTCCTCTCTTTCTCTTTCTCTTCTCTTCTTTTCTACTTTCTCTATCTCTCTTACTCTCTCTCTCTCTCTCTCTCTCATCGTCTCTTTTCCCAAAGAACTTTTTGTCTTGTCTGCCATAGCAGAAGTTGTAGTAGTAGTAGTAGTAGTAATAGTAATAGCAGAAGCAATAGTAACAGTAGTAGTGATTGTGATAGTAGTAGTAATAGTAATAGTAGTAGTAGTTGCAGTAGTTGCAGCAGGCTACATCGTTCTGCTGCATCTCTTCTTCTTCTCTTCTTTTCTCATTGCTTTTCACCAATATCTCTTTCTCTCTCTCTCTCTCTCTCTCTCTCTCTCTCTCTCTCTCTCTCTCTCTCTCTCTCTGGTTAGAACAAATTTTCAAGCACACCGATGACGCCATGAGACAAAAGCATCATCACCAACTACACACAACTATTACAAACACGGGAAAGCTCGATTGGGACTAGGCTAGTAAGATTTTTACAGTGATAATAATGAAAAGGTCATGAATGAAAAAAAGAAAAGGATTTTCATTATATTTTTTTTTTTTTTTGTATTTCGTATTGTAGATTTAATGTGACTTGTTTCTATTATTTTATTTTTGTATTTTTATTACTTTCGTATTTTAAATATTCTTGTTTGTTAATACTAAATCTACTGTATACTATTTCCTATATACTTATTCCAATTTTGAATGGTCAAATGATTTTTCTATTTTGTACTTTAAATTTATCTTGACTTGTTTTTATTATTTTATTTTATTTTGTTTTGTTTTGTTATTACTCTTTCGTATTTTTTAAATACTAAATAATACTATTTTAATACTAAAAATACTATTTTAATACTTAACCTATTGTATACTATTTCGTATATACTTATTTCAATCGTGAATGGTCAAATGATTGTATTAAAAAATAGAAAAGCACATATCATGATATAGATTATTTTGTAATACATTTTTATCGCATTTTTATTAATTACAGGTAGCACTTGGTAGATTTAGTATTAATATATAAACAAAAAAATATTATGTATGCTGATCACACGTGTTAGAAGTGAAAACCCTTAACTAACCCTTAAAACCAAGCTTCAAGAGAATGTAGTTGTTTCATCGTTTCATTTCCCTTACCATGGATTTTCGTTCACTTTTTTCAAATCATCCCCATTCTAAAGAAGTTTTCACTTCAAAAAATACAATAAGGATTATTAATGTAAATTATTAATGATTTTCTAAGATCAGAAAAAAAGGAAATAGATGTATCGAATTGAAACTAGTATAAAGATGGACCAACGCAAAGTAAAACGATTCTTTTCGCCTGTTAAACTTTGTAGGAGGTCCGAAGTGAAAAAAATATAGGAAGAGAGAGAAAGAAAGAGAGAGAGAGAGAGAGAGAGAGGGTGGAGGTCCTTAAAAAATCATCCAGTCGAGAACCGGTTTGTTCGAGCTCATTTGTCTTCAGACGCGTGGCAATTGTTAACGCGAAAGTTAATGATTTCCGTATCGAATGATTTCAACCTCTTTACATGTTTGTGTGCGTGCGTATGTGTATGTTTTAAATAAGGCATGATTAATTAATTAAATTGATATTTAATTAACAATAATCGTTTAATCATTTGAGCCGTTAAATTTTTTCAAATCTTATTATCGATCCTTTGATGAACGCATAATTTTATATATTTCATATTAATTTATTGAATAATTAGAATTAACTGATTATTAAATGAGAATAATTTTAATTGACATTATTACAATAATAAATAATATATAACAAAGATAATAATTATTATATATTTTAGTTTCCTGAATTTAATGATCGTTGTATTTGACAAATAAGCTTTCAATTCGTTTTACTAGTAAAACAAATTCGATTATTATAAATGATATATATAT